CATAATTGTGATGTGGAAGTAAAAGGATGTATTAAAAAAAAGCAAGCTACAAGGAACATTTCCAGGGCTGCAAGGACAGAATGGTGTAATTTTCTCCTTGCACACCTGGGAGAAAAAACAAATTTCTCTACACAGTTTGCATATGCCTTTCCTCTAGAGGAGATGCAAAGATCCATAGCTCTCGTATGAGCTCTACAAATCTGAGGAAACCTTAAAATTAGTGCTCTCATGTAATGAAACAAAGCAATCATGTGGAAGAAAGTGTTCTTATGCATTATGTGCAATAAAACTAACTATGTACAGCCCCTGAACACATTGTCCTGACACTAAAACATGGTAATAGTGGCATCATGTTATGGGGAGCCTTCTCTTCAGGAGGGACAAGACAGCTGATCAGAGGTGATGGGAGCTGGGTAGAGCAAAAGGATGGGAAGAAAACCTGTTGGAAGACTTTGGACTGGAGCTTTGATGACCAAATGTTGTGTTGCACTCTTTTCCAGGGGATGGACTACTTGCACTCAAAGCGCTATGTGCATCGAGATCTTGCTGCTCGAAATGTTTTGGTGGAAAACAAAAATGTTGTAAAGATCGGAGACTTCGGCCTAACAAAGTACATTCCAGAAGGAGAAATCTACTATCGGGTTCGTGAGGACGGAGACAGTCCTGTCTACTGGTCAGTTCAAGCACCTTATCAAAGTGATACTTGGTGTGTTTTTAGCACTTACATTTGTGTGCTTTGCACTTTGCAGGTATGCCATCGAGTGCTTGAAGGAGCTCAAATTCTCATTTGCCTCTGACGTCTGGTCATTTGGAGTCACACTGTATGAGATCCTGACGCGCTGTGACCATCGCCAGAGTCCTCCAGCTGTATGTTGTGAACTCAAAGCTCAAACAAAATACAAGAACAGTCAGAAAAAATTGCATTCTGAGTCTGAAAATAATGTTTTGTTTTTTTTCCTGTGTGTGTTTTGTAGAAGTTCATTGAAATGTCAGAAGATAAGGAAGAACACATGAATGTGGTGAAACTCATAAAGCTGCTGGAGAGAAATCAAAGGTTGCCTTGTCCCAGGGATTGTCCACATGAGGTAACAATAAATAACCCATAAAGAAGAAATATTACTAATGGTGCAACAGTATTAATTTTTCAAAGTCATTAATGTTTATTAAAAATATTATTATGAGCTGTCATAATACTTCATGATACACTTTCTAGCAAACTCACAATACTAGTGCACCCAGTATTAAGATTATTGTTATCACTTAAAACTGCGGTAGGTAATTTTTATACTACAAAAACACAAAATCTTACCAAGTAATTTTGGTCTAGTTCCTAGTGCAAATACTTTTGTACACTTGAAGTAAGACAAACTAGTTTAGATAAGGTGTCTTGTTTTAAGTAATTAATTCCTTAATATTGATGAAAAAGTACTTGCTCCATTGGCAGATAAATTAACTTTAAATTAGCTAAATAAATTAACTGCAAGTGAAATAATCTGCAAATGGAACCGGTACTTTTTCATCAGGATTTATTACGGAGCTATTTACTTAAAACAAGTCTTTACATCTTGCTGAAAAGTTACTTTTAAGTTAGTTTTGTTTTATTTCAAAGAGATATTTGCACTAAAAACTAGACCAAAAATGCTTTTTAAGATTTAGTGTTTTGCACTGTACAAAATCATGTTTTTTTTTTTGTTTTTTTTGTTTGTTTTTTTTTTACGTATTTGCTAATTCTGTGCTTTGTCCTGAAAGTATAATATGAGAAACACTGTAAAAAAAAAAAATCTGGTTCCTCTGCCTCCACCCTGTGGTCCTACAGCCATCTGTAGAAATGTACCGGTCAGAAACAAATGATCAGAGGCAAGAGGAATGTCTTAGTACTCTGAATCGCTCGTGTACTCGATGCTCTGTGTAATCAGCTCGTACAATCTCAAGATTGCCGGCTTGCTGCACCTGTGCTAATGGCAGAAAAACAGTTTACAGTCACTGAAAACTGTTTATGGTGGCCAAGTTTGCTTGCCTGCACATTCATGGCAGGGTTTGGTGTGGGAAAGGAGAAGTAGCGCAAGTGGAGGGGGTATGAGCAGCACATCCATGAGCTTGATTGACAGTGGTAAGATATTCCTCCTGGCTCTGAGGCTCTGATTGGTTGTTTCTAGTCAGGAGTGGTGTATTTTTGCCGGTGGCAGTCGGTCCACAGGGAGAAGGCAGAGGAGCTTGCAGCTAAAGTCACAGGGTTATTTGTGTTATTTTATTCTCCTTGTGATGAAAATTATTTTCAAAAAGCCTTTCTTGTTAAGTTATGGTGTCCAAAATTCAGCACAGCTTAAGATCTCTATGCTCTTTGATGATTAAAATATCCCTGCATTTTGCATTACTTGGTCTCATAAAACCAAATATATGCCTTTGAGTACAAAAATATAACAATTATGTGTGTGTTTTAAAAATACAGCATTTGTGTGAGTGGTTCAGGATCTTCTTTATTTTTTCCTTCCCAGGTGAAGTTGTTGATGGATCAGTGTTGGGATGCAAATCCTGATAATCGGCCTACGTTCAGTAACCTCATCGAAAGGTTCGAGTCAGCACGAAAAATGCTTGACTGGTCGTTCAGTCCCATGTCCCAGATTTGCTGAGTGGAGTCAGTGAAGCTCCATCAGATTAGTTGTTGATGCTCAGTCTAGCCATATTTCTCACTTAAAGTGTATAGTTCTTGATTCATCTATTTATAAAGATGTCTTTGTATGTTTAAAAATGTAAAGTACTCACATATGCTCTGATGTCTGTCGGTAAGGTGATATAGAACTGTCTTTTGTCCTCACATAGTTAAGCATCATGGTAAAAGTAGAGGCTTTGAGTGGTAAAAATAAATATCTTGTAGCTATACAGGCTTTCATTCATCAGGAAGTTGGTATTTCTGTTTCATTTTTATTTTCTGTACATGTTTAAAGTGTTTATTTTTGCATGCTATTTTGTAAAAAAAATAACTGAAGATCAAGTAAATCCTTTTTCAATCTTTGCTTTTATTAAAGCTGAAATATATTAACTGTGACTGTTGAATTAAATTATTTTGCAATTTTACATTACACTGTTATAAGACACAAGACAGGGAGCAGATTAGCAAAGACCCATACAAAGGCAGCCAAATCCTCTTCAGGGTATTTGTTTAATTACAATGTCACATAATACAAAAAAAAATATGTGCACAATTAGTCACTCACTTTCTTTTTTGAAAGATATGAGGACAGAAAGGATTAAGCAGGTTCGTTACTAAGCAAAAGACTATCGCTCTGGTGTCACAGAAGAAACTAAAATGAAGGGATGCCAGGCATTATTTTACTAATTCTTTGGTAAAAAAAAAAATAAAATAAAAAAAAAACATCTGTTTCTTCAAATCAAGACTTTAGTGCATGATTTTAGCACCTTAATGCGTCTTTTCTGGACTGCAATGCCCCCTGCAGGCACATGATTTTTCCTTAGTGCCATTTCTCTGTGTGAAGTATTTAGTACTATTGTTCTAAAATGAAAAAGAAGTTTCAGACTTCTTCTACATTGCTTTTCAGGGATTGATTTCCCACTACAATCTTTTTTGGATAAGCGTGAGGGAAAATGCAATTTGGATGTGTGCTGGGACGTGCACACAACCTTAAGAAAACATAATATTTTATGTTAAAAACAGGATGTCTCTCATTCCTCTTTTTCACCACAGCATTGCGGTATTTATTTTCAATGTAATCGGTTGCAGTCTCAAACAAAGGAAAAAGTAAAAACTGTTCTCTGTGGTGTTAACCTGCTATGGAACAGGTCAGTATGACCCTGTGAGGTGAAACAGTGGGAACCTTCTGAACTCTCAGCCACTAATTTAAGGATTTTTGTTGTAGCTGTGAATGTCTGTTGGTTCATCCACCTGGCATGAGCCACAAAAAAACATTTTTATGGTTTTCTTCAAGCTTTTGAAAAAATAAAAAAACTGGTATAGAAACAAAATTAATCAACAAACAAATACACAAAGAAACAAGATGAAGTAAAAGACTAGAGAGATTATTATTTTAATATGCATTTAAAATGACAATTTAAAAAATACTAAAAGGAGTTAGTTATTTGTCTTTGATGTCTCCTGGTAAGATTTTTACAATGATCATAAAAAGGAGCAATTTACTAGACATACAGTGACAAGAAAAGAGACATAAATGCTTGGAAAAGTAGGATAAGCTATCAACATTATTCATCATAATTTGTGAATAAGACCAAACCCCTGGAACATCTGAAAAAAAAAAGTTTTGCCTTGGAAGAATAGAAGTATGGATATCTGTTAGTGGCACTTATCCAGTCCAACCAGTTAAACCTGAGTTTGAAGACTGATTACCTCTATGCCACGCTGCACTTATACAGCAATTTATTCAAAAGGAGCCTCTATGAAGTTTAGAGGACATACTATATACTAGTAGACATACTATACATATTATGTAACTAAATTCTATGTTTGACGTTTTTTGTTGCAATGCTTTGGGATGCTTCAAAATTAGCAATATTGAAAACATTCTACTTTTCTGAAAATGTTAACTTTTGGGTTTTATGAGCCTTAAGACATTTAAATAAACAGAAAAAACACTTATATCTCCATATAATGATTATTTATAGCATTTAAGTATCACATCTGTATCTTAACTGATTGGGATCAATAAAACATTTTTGAACAAAAATAATTTAACCTTGCAAAATTATTCAAATGTATTAAATTTCACCCTTCGGTTTCTTAACAAACCCTATCTGTAGCTACATTGACAGATTTGTAATTATAAACACTATGTCAGATTTGTTCTCTCTTTTTTTTTTTTTAGCAATGGTTTGTTTTATTTTTAATTGCCACAAAACTATTCCAGTACAGCGGACGACCGTAACAGGTTGATATGCTAGTTGGCAGCGTCGCCCCGCCCCCACTGCACGTTGCGTCGTAGTCATGGAGAATGCGTTCCCCGCTCGTCCAATGAGAAGCGTCGCTGGGTCCATGTGTGTATTGTTTAAACTGCTCAAAATCTGACCGAGTTTCAAGCCCTGTTAAACCTCTACCAAACTCCGGCTATGGCGGCTGCCGTGTCTCCGAGTACAACCTCTGGCACGGAGGAAGGCGCAGACAGCGAATCCACATTTGTCTCTCGACCATTTAGCGCAAATCACGACCTCGCCACGGACAAAGAAAACTTTATGGCCGGTGACCGTCACCGTTACCCCGAATTCGCTTCGGTGGAAGAAGACGCCACATCGGGCCCAGAATGTCAACGAAAGGTCGACGAAGATTTGATACCACTGAGCCCTGAAGATATTGAGAGCCGCTTGGAGAGAACACGTCGGGAGTTTTACAACCGTAGAAAAATAATAATAAAAAATTTACCTCCGGATGTCACTAATCAGGTAAATGTGAAATTGTGCATGCTTTAGTGAGCAGTTTGGCTAAACGTTAACCTAGCTCCAATATGCCTATCATGCTACGAATGTTAGCCTGCTAACCTTTTAACCCTGCCTTTTAACTTTTGCTGACGTGATGTGTTGGCTTAGTCTGCGGCTGTTTACTTATGACCACAAAATATCAAATTAATTCTGAAAGTGTAATTGGGTCATATACACCGTGACGGGTCCGAAAAGACTGCACTTTATCTCAAATGCCCGGTGATAAGTTAGCTTTTTGGGCAATAGTGGTCATCTGTGGCCTGTTTTCACCAACTTGGCAACTTTTGACATTTGGGGTTTCCCAGGTTAAATTAACAAGACAAATTGCAACAGGTGTTTAATCAGGACGCAAGTTACTTGTTTCACGAGGCAGTCTTAGTCTCTCATTGTTGTTTTGTACCTTTATAAAATCTATTTTTAGATTGGAACGTGCCTGACTCGTGGGGAGTTGGAGGCCTGCGGGCAGTACCACTGTCCACAGGCAGCGGGGGGAGCGCAGGGAGTTCGAGATGTGAGGGTCCTGTAACAAAAGGTGGAAGGCGTAGAGACAAAACGAGTCAGAAAATGCTAGAGAGCGTCAGTATTTGTTTGTGAATGGGCAAAAGCAATGCAGAATTTCTGCCTCAACAATGAGGCAGTTGCCCTTCCACTCCCCTTTCTCTTCACAGGTGCACCAGTTTAACTGTGGACGTGAAAGAGTTAATTGTCACGCTCAAAATCTCAATTTCAGCAGTTTGACCCATGTATCACAGCCTGCATCCTTCTCACAGAAAAAAAAAGCACTGAGGTTTCACTTTTGTAAAGTTTTGTTACTGAAGACACATTTTTTCTAATGTTTTTTTGTTGTTGTTTCCTGTAAATGTTTATTCACAGGAGGTCCATGAGCTGTTGGGAAACTATGATTTAAAGTACTGCTTTGTTGACAAATACAAGGGCACAGGTTAGTTGAACTTCTTATTTTGGTGAATAAACCCCTCAAACTAATATCAGAAGTTAGTATAATCCATTTATTTATGTTTAACTGTTTGCTGTAGTGCAGCGGATCATAGTTTGTTTGCAGTATTTTGAAGTGTTTGATGGTAAATTTACTTTGAAGCAACTTACAGAAAACTTCCAAATGTACATAATTTCATTTGCTCAAAACTGTTCTTCCTAATATTTTAGCTATGTTGCCTTTATGTCTTAATATTTTAGGAGCATCTTTGTTTTGTCATATATAATTTTTCAGAGGCACACTTGGACTGAGCATTTGTAAGACTGTAATGTCCCTCTTGGATTAATAAAGCATCCAGATTTTGAAATTGTAAGCCTCAAAGTTATGGATGCAAACTTTGCTAAAAAAACATGTCCTCAAACATTTAATAAGACGATTTACCTGGGCTGAATACATAAACCTAAGACCATGTTTCCAAATTAACTATTAAACATTCTACCTCCTTCCCATGATGCACACAAACTGCTCTCAGGAATGGGAATGTGTCTTGCCAAAAATAACACTTCTGGCTTCTTTTTTTTTTTAAACACTTTTCTGTATTTTGTTAATAGACTTAAATTTGTAAAACAGTCAACCCTTATTCACTATTTTTAATATAAATTCCTCTTAAAAACAGTAAGATTATATTTAACAATATTTTATTAATAACAGCAATAAAATATTGGTATTGTATCAATGCTACTTTTATTTTGTGGGTCAAAAGGCGAAATTCTTTGGGAATCACAGATCTAGAGGATGTTTTTGTGTCAAATTGAATTACTAAAGGTGTATATTTATTTCCAAAAGCATTATGTAGCTTTATGTTTCCAAAAGTTTATGTTCTATGTAGGAGTAGAACTGTTATTATGATCATTAAGTTTATTTGATAGGGACAGACGCACATAGACAAACTGAATAAAACAGCAGTCCTGTGTTTGCATCATAGTGCAATAGCAACAGCTAATTTGCAGCACTTGTCCCTAGATGGGCTGTTAAACAGTACCTCTAAAAAATTGAAGTGTTCATATCTTAACTATTAACTGCCTTCCTCTATACACTGCGGTGTTTAAATTGTTTAGAAAAAAAAGTCTCGTTTTTATATGTACAGCAGCTGTTAGGTTTATATTGTGCTCTGTATAAAAAAAAAAGTTTGACTGCAGTATTAAAGATGAGCATCAAAACTAGTAAGGCACAGAGGGAAATGGCTTCAGAATCAAACGACTTGAACATAAAAACCTTGGTCAAAATGCCCAGTGTGTTCCAGTAATTCATCATTATGGCAGCCATAAACTCCCTTTGTCACGATTTTCCCACTGCTTTGTCATAAATTCAACTAAAGCTGCATTATCAGTGTCTATGTGAGCTGCATCCCTAACCAGGAATAGGAAATTTGATAAAACAGAAAGAAGCTTCTGAAAGATGCTTGCGTTTGACAATTTTTTTTGCAGTTGCAAAGCCATGTCTCCAGAAGCTTGACAATAATGATAATATTGGGAAAAATGAATAGCAGTGGTGAAAATAGTCACTGCACTGAAACTGACAAGCTGTTGCAAAGCCGTTCAATTTTTTATTTTCACAATATCAGAAGTCTGTCACTTTGGATAAAGTGAGGGTCAACAAAACTACAACTTTTCAAGTCCTGATGTGGCTGTCAGTGACTCTGAGCCGGCTGTCAGTCTCACTAAGAGCAGTAAGGTTGCTCTGGCAGAAGAGATGGTGTCGTCTGACATTTTGCCATCAGCATCCTCTTTTATCTGACAAGCTTAAGAGAAAACGGTGTCAACAGCGGGGTTCACAGCTTGAATCTGTTTGAATAGCTTCGTCTTTGTTTTTATTTCTGATTTTTACAAGTTTTATTTGGGTTTTCACATCATTCCAAGTTTGTATTGTTTTTTTTCTTTTCTCCCCATCCATCTCCCAGCATTTGTGACGCTGCTCAATGGCGAACAGGCCCAGTGCGCCATCAAAGAGTTCCACCAGATTACGCTGCGGGACAGGGAGATCTCCGTGCAGTTGCAGCCAACCGACGCCCTGCTGTGCATCGCTAACCTGCCCCAGGCCTTCACCCAGCAGCAGTTTGAGGAGCTGGTGCGACCTTTTGGTAACCTCGAGCGCTGCTTCCTGGTGTACAGCGCCTCTACTGGTCACTCGAAGGGCTACGGCTTCGTGGAGTATATGAAGAAGGACTCAGCAGCCCGTGCGAAGTCGGAGCTGCTGGGGAAGCAGCTGGGCTCCCGCATGCTCTACGTCCACTGGACCGAAGTGGGCTCACTCACCTACCCGCAGCTGCACTCCAAGTGTCTGTGTGTGGACCGCCTGCCCCCGAACCTCCTGACTGCCCAGGACCTCCGAAACGCTTTGGCAGATACCCATTCTCCGGTTTTCTGCCAGGTCAGGTTCAGCACGCACAAACATTCTGCTGCTTGTCAAGATAATAAATTCAATAACTCATTCCTCCTTTTTCCTCAACAATAATGGACAGATTTTCAAAAAATGCTTTTGAAGTTATATTTGTTTTATTCAAGTTATGGTCAGGTGATATGTTTTTGAAACTTAGTGAAAAAGACTATCCTTATGACAAGTTGACCCTGAGGGTATTGGGATTCTTTTAATTTGTTCTGTTTTTCTTTATGCTGGTCTTATACAGCATAAAGGGTAAAGAGGGTAACATCACTGTTACCCTAGTTTTTATGTGGTTCCTGGGTTTCTATAGTCATACGGGAGAATTTGCTAGTAAAACTGGTGTCCTTCAGTATGATTTTCTCTCTCTCTTTTTCTTTTAATTCATCACAAAATGGTGGAAACATTTAGTAGAAATATAAATTGAAAGCTTAAGAGAAGTGTATGTGTAAAAGTATGATTTATATGCACAGGTTGGTAGGGTAACCAAATTAGAAAAAAAGTTATTTCATTGGTGTACCAAAATGTAGTTATGTGGAAATTTTGGAATATTTAAAGATGAAAATAAATAACATAGCTACAAAATGAGGCAAGATAAACAATTTTTTAATATAAAACTTTTATAATTGTGAATGTAATTAATCAGTCAGATCTCTGTTTATATGTGACTGATTTTCAAGAGTTAATGAAGAGCCAGTTCAAACGAGTCTGTTGTGTGTTTGAGCTGCCATATTGTGACCTTTGGACTTTCTCTCCGTAGTTGGCTCAGGGGCAAGACGGGAGTTTCCGGCGTTTCGCCGTGCTGGAGTTTGCCACTGCGGAGATGACTGAGGAGGCGCAGCGACTCGGAGATGGCCGGCTGCTGGGCGGGACGCACATCAGGGTGTCCTTCTGTGCCCCCGGCCCTCCTGGAAGAAGCATGCTGGCTGCACTGATCGCTGCCCAGACAATGGTAAGAAGGAAAAATTTGTGTATAGTGGCCACATGGTTAATTGTAGGAATCAGTGATATGGACTTAGAATTTCATTGCAGCATCTTGCAGTATACTATAGTGATAACAAAGACTATTGGGAGGGGGTGGGGGGTGTGTGTGTTTATCTTTAGGTAATAGTTTTGCAGGATTGTGACTGCATGGCACAGCATTCATAGCATCACAAATATTCTTGAAAAACATTCTCATCTGACATGGGCTTCAGAATGCTGCTTACTTTAAAAATTTTTTTATTTATTTCACCAAGCTGAACACAGTAAGTGCATTTAATCTAATATTTTAAAATCGACTGATTTATTGATGTTTGTAGATCAAAAATAAAATTTCTGATCATGCTGTCAGTTTTATTTTACTTGACATCAATAGCTGAAATTTATCATGACAAATCAAAATTCTTATAAGAGACTTTTCACTATGTATGACAAATGCCCACACCAGTCAGTTTAATGCTGTTTTTGCTGATGGTTTTTCTTCTCATTCCTACCTACAAGGCTGTAAACAGGGGTAAAGGTCTCCTCCCTGACCCCACAGTCTTGCAGCTTTTCACTGGTTTTAATAACCCTGCTGCTCTCAAGATGCTGCTCAACACTTTGGCACAGGGACACAAACAGGGTAAGCAGTCCTCCGCCTGAGCTTTTTATCGATTAATTTTCAGTTTATTGATGGTGTTTATTTGCAGGTCTCCTCGGAGCGGCTCCTGCCATCCCGCTGCTGCCCAACCCCGCCCTGTCAGCGGTCCTGCTACAGCTGCTCCTTCAGAACCAAGCTAAGGCCCAGCAGGTACCCTTACGTTTTGGCCTCTGCCCTGATGCCATCTCTCCTCCTTCTCCTTCATCTTCTGTTTGATTCATCTTCACCCCTCCTCCTCTCTGTTCTGCTCCTCTGTGCCATTAGCAAGCCTTTCTGGGAAATCATCTTCTCTGGGCTCAGGTGCTGCACAGTAAAGAGACAAAAAAAAATCCCTGTTGTGTTTTGTGTGAGTGATGATGGTGTGTGACGTGGAGGCTGAAGCTTGATGGGTTCCAGCTGTTTTTTTTTTTAGGGGAACAGGAACAGATTTGTTGTGGTCGGTAAGTTCTCTCAGGAAGAGTGAGGGTTTTCTGAGTGATGCTGTGGGTGTGCTTCTCTATTATACGCCTGGATTGTCAAACGGTGATATTTGAGGGAGAAGTTGGTAAGTGAACTCAAATGCTGGTTTTAGTGTGTTGCTGTGCGTCTGCAGTTTTTCTCTGAGTGCTGCAGCCATTTTGGGTGACCCTGTGGTAACGCTGGTCTGTCCTTGGGCCAGCAGGCAGGACTCATCGGGGACAATCCTCTGGCTGCTCTGCCCGTCCAGCAGGGAGTCCATCTGCTTGGAGAGCTCCCTCAAGGTTTGGCATCTTTCACTTCCAGCCGGAGCTCCTTGAGCAACTAATGACATGTTTTTGCTTTTCATCTGATTATAAACATCTGTATCCTCTTAATCATGCATCACACTTCTAGTGTTTGCCAATGCTGAAATATTCTGATTAATCAGCTCTAATCATACTTTAGCAATCAGCATTCCATAGCGGAACAATACTGAGTAGCTTGGGTTTTAAATGTATTTGTTCCCTTTAAGCCTTTTTCTTGAATGCATTTTGCTGTGATCTTGTGATGGAACAACAAATAAGGGGGGCATAGCTGTGATGCAGAGGGATTCTGTACAACCAATTGCGCTCAGCAGTTCATTAGATATTGTTGGTGAACATCATTAAGACCAAGGAGTACACCATGGATAAAAGTTGTAGAGGTGTATTATAATTTTTGTTACAGACTTGGGTTAGAAAATGATATTGTGAACTTGGAGCATTCAATGGAACACAATCTAGTATGCTCCATTGGTACCAGAATTGAAGGATATCCTTATTTTGATGGAGGCCAAAATAAGGATATTTATCCTTATTTTTCAGTTCTGGATAAGTACGGGGGTGAAAAGTAATTAATAGGATTTATTTTCAGTTTTGTTTTGAAATATCTTCTACCAAATGCAGTTTTACAACACTAAGAACTTGTTGCTAGTTTGTATCCCAATAGCTCTTCATTGGGATCGATCTGTTTGGATTGCTGCAGGCGGCGTGGTCCCAGGTCTGGCTCTGCAGGCAGAGGCTGTGCCTTCTCTGAAGCCAGGGTCTCTTGGCAGAGGCCTAATGAGGGAGCAGGATTCCCCCACATCAGTGTGTGGCTTCTCACAGACTACCTCTCCCTCCCTGCCAGGCATTTCCTTACCCCTGATGAGTGGCATGATTGGGGCAGATGGTCTCACAGCACAAGGAGTATGTGTCAAAGTAGATGTATATATTTTTTTGTTCAATTCTCATCTGATTGGACGAGAATTGAACAAAAATTCTTTTCCTCACTTGTAGGTATCGATGCTAGGGGATCTTCCTAAAGAGATGAACCTTCCTCAGAGCACCTTTCTCAACCCCAATGTTTATCCTTCAGGTGAGATGCCTTTTTTTTAAATTCTCCTCACATTTAAATCTGTTCATGTGCAAGACAAGCAGTCAGCCAGACGCGTTCGGCTCATGTTTCCCTTCGCTGCTGCAGCGAGCTGCAGGCCTCACCCCTACAGGAAGCGGCCAACACTAAGCAACGTGTCTAACCAGCACACGCATCACAACATGGAGCCCAACTATAACCTGCGTTACCAGGACTCTTACAGCCCAGAGTATCCTCCTCCTCTACAGCAGGTGATCACCCCTTCCTGCTCCATCGGTTGAGTTTGACATGAATAGATGTCGTTTGGACACTTGTGGGTCTTTCTGCTCATTGCTGCTCAATTATGGGTCTATGTGATGTAATTTGGTCTGATGCCCATCTGCTGCTTCTCCTCAGGATACCCTGGCCTACTTGTACGAACAGCAGGAGAACCTCGATGTTGGAGCCTTGGCAGGATTTGGTCAGCAGGTAGTGTGTGTTTTCAGCTGTTTCAGCATTATCTAAGGCATTTTTTCCCCCCCATTCATTAAAAGTAAATTCAGCACATTCATCCGTTTTTCTTATAATTGTTGTTGGAATTTCTTCAGTTTTCCCGTCAACCCGACTACAGTGAGCAGTTTTCGCACTATGCTTGTCCAAGCAGCCCACCCCTCTCCTCGTACTTCAGCTCAGGACCAGAAGCCAGCAGCAATGGCAGCCTGCCTGCCAGGCACCTCAACAAGGTAACCAGCAAGAACCGATCAGTTTCTGTTTGAAGTATTGATCACTTGTTAGTGTCTGGATGTGAAGAAGGAGGCTAATAACAGGATGCCAGTGTTTTAATGATTAACATTGCAGTGTGAGGGTAAGTGAGAAATGTGTGTTTTGTCTACAGGCTGTGGGAATGCCTCCAGGAAGCCACAGTGCCCCCTACCCTCCAGGCCTGGGGAATGTTATGAAGGTAATTGGCAGATTGCCTCAAACTCTTTTTTTCTTGACAGATGTTGGTTTTGTAAAAAGCTATTCTTCACCATTTTCCTCTGTTATTTCTAGACACCAGTGAGTAGCCAGAAGCGCGTTTTTTCTCGCCTGATCCCGTCTCCGGAGCCGAGCCCAGAGGGAGGCTACGTGGGCCAGCATTCCCAGGGCCTCGGTGGCCATTACGCGGACTCCTATCTGAAGAGAAAGCGTATATTCTGAGTTTGTACGTTGAGCCATTTTTGCATTTGGAACAAAGCAGCATCTCCTTGTAAAGGATGCAAAGCCCCCTCACTCTGCGTCGTCCTTGGATCCGTTTGCTCCTCGGAGTGACCCCCGGAGGGCGCTGGCGAGCGCAGCTTGTTGTCTGGACAGTGGGGACTCTGTATGGTGTGTGTGGGTTTTTTTGTTCTTCTCTGCTCCATGTAAGTGTGTTCTTTTATTTACCATTTTGTAAATTAACTTTTAAATTCTTTTATTTTGTGTATAACTTGTACAGTGAGGGGAACAAAATAAGAAGCAAATTTTTTTTATTTTTTTTGTGTTCTTGCATGAAGTGTGATGTGCTAGTAGCTACAGATTGTTTTGGCCAGTTTACAGCACTGCTTCTTGAATATTTGGCTGCTATACTGTTCACACTTTCCAAAGGGACATGCAAAGTATTAAAAAATGAGCTATACCTCAGGCTTTTTTAAAAATTGCCTTTAAAAAATTTAAAAAGTTCAATATTTTTTCCTTCTACTACATGGTTTTGTATTTTACTGTAAAACTGGTTCCAGGCAGGTTTCTCTTTGCTCAACATGCATCTTTCCATCCACCGATGATGAGTTGTGTGCGTCTGATGTATTATGAAACAGCTGTGCAAGTCTGGGGATGTTTCTCTTTTTTTTTTTTCTTTTTTTTTCTGAGGTCTCTCACATTGTTCTAGTTTCCAGAATCTGTTTTCAGCACTACTTGTCCACCTGGGAGGGCACAGGTCACCGTCGTAACCTTTTCTCACTTCGAAACGATAGTTTCTTACTTATTTCTCCACAAATCATTAGTTTTCTTTGGGCTTGGGCGGGATTTTGTGTTTTATTTTTTTACTTGTTGGTATAGTTTAATGACTGGGCCAACTGTAGATGGAAACGTCATCATCAGGTTGGACAACATGTCTTGAGCTTTAAATATCAGAGGCAGCCTGTGTTTGTTTTCATTCAGTCGGGGGACATGAGAATAGAAACTAATCACTGATTAGTCTAAAACATAACTGTCTTTTTATTAAAGTAATTTATGGTTGACAGTTTGATTGTGAAAACCCATTACCTCTTACTTCTGCTATAAATGCAGCTATACTTGAGCCTTAATGTTTTCTGTAGAAATCATCCTACCTGTTGGCTTCCATCTACATTTTCTATTTCTGTTATTTGCTGTGTAAATAGTTGAAGCTTGATTTCTTTTTAGAGTCCTGAATGTAATTTCTTTATTCCTACCTGTGGTCAGGTGCTTTTTTTTTCTTTTAATTTAATTTAATTTTATTTTTGAATTAATTTTCCTGCTTTGTATTTCGGTTGTCGTGCTCCTGGTACGTTTGGAAAAAGTGACGTTTTGAAGAGTGGCACCACAGTAGACTGTTGTGTATGGACCAAGAGATGCAGCTTTTACTGTGTTCATCAGCTGATTTTACAAATTATTTGGTTCCACTGCTGTGTCCTCATCTGTACCACCATGATTGCCTTTGTATGTTAGTGTGACATGCGCAAGTAAATGTTGTTTAAATCAATTACACTTTTGACTGATCATTTTAAAGGTAGCAGACTTTGGTATTTGACCCGATGAGTCGGTAAATCTGTTGCTTAATGACTTTTTCCAGACAAGTTTAAAGACTTTTTCAAACTTTATACTGATAAATTTTGTCCTTCAAATCTAATAGATATATTTCAAAATGCATTTTTGTTTCATCCAGTTATATTTTTGTCATACCATTCCAATGGAGCCAAATAACATCTGTTATATTAAGCATTAAAATATACAATTTACATTTTGACACTCAAAACCTGAACTCTGTGTTTTACCAAGTCAAAACACTGTTACTTAAAATATGTACAAAAAAAAAAAAAATCTGGAGTCTTCCTACTCAGTTTAAGAAGCCAAAAAAAAAAAAAGAAACTGATGCTTTTGTTCCAACAGAACAGCAAAACACACTGTTGCACACAATATTGTGATTTCTCCTGTCTTGCAGATGGACATATTTTTCATCCTGAAGTCTTTATTTTAGGGGATTCTGATAAAATATGTCTGAAACAAAACTCTTTCTGAAATTATCTGAATTCAAATCCAGCCTGAATCAGCTGGGTTGCTTTGACTATTTTGTGAAGTTTCGATTGAAGCTGTTGAGTCAGCCCCATTAATTAAAGTTTTTAATCTGTCGAGAACGTGGAGCATATGTCACCTCTTGCTAGTTTTATATCTTTGATTGTTAATGGTGTCTTTCCAGATGTGCAGTTTACCAGGTCCAGGCACCAACATATTATGATATCCTGACTTCTGCAGGTAGTACTGATAACAAGGTAGATGGCTCCTCTACATAGATCTTCACAGAAATTTTGATTTGACACTTTTATCTTTCTTGATAAAACTTTGCACAGCAAAATGTTGCAGCATTTCTCAGTCTTGTTCTGCTTTATTCTTTATTCTTGTTTCTGTAGCCTAACCCCAATCCTTATTAATGCATTACCCACATATGCCTAAACTTAAGTCACCCCTTAGTCTTATAACTAGTCCCAAAATTAGCACTTTTTCTTCTGGGCCCCTACAAAAAGCAGTGGTCCTCACAGTATTTGATAGAAAAATGGGACGTGTAAGAAGAGAAATGCTAAAATAAACTCACACGCACACTTCCCCAGCATGGTTTTCATTTAGCTGCCCACTCTCCAGTGGACAGTCTCCCTCCTTCGGCTCTCAGAGCTGTCCTAGTGGGATCCGTCATGCTGTGGGTGGCCCCTGCTCCATATCTGGTCTGAGGCCGACTCATCTTACAAATGCAAAATGGCACCGGTCACAACATCCAAACACACCAAATCAAATCCTTTGCCTCGTGATCCACTGCTTGCCCTTGGACCCTCTTCTCTCTGTATGGTGGAGGACTGACCAGCTTTTGTCGCCCTATTGTCATGTTTTTTCTTCTTTTGTTGCTGTTGACATTTAAAGATGTGCTGCTATTTCAAGAAGCGTTTTGGTTTGGCATTTCTTTAAGCAATTTTAGCTGTCTTTTTTTATATGGGTTTCACAAATCCAAGGTGCATTTTAAAGAATCTACAATCTGAAGAAAAAAAATTCAGTTCATGTTTTTTCTGATTTTTTTCTGTTAACTATTAAACATCCTGCGATTTTTCTGCTTGTGTCACCTTCAAGTTGTGCAGATGCCCACAAATGATTGAAAATAAACATTTTGATTGTAGTTTTTTTTTTTTTATCTGTTTAATGTGGAGTTAGCACATTCAGGCATAACCATCCTGGAATGTTTGTTTCTGAGCTACAGCTGATCAATCAGGACTGTTATAACTAATTATCCATTGGCATCAATGTTTTTTTTGTCAATATTGGCTTTTTATAACTTTCCTTTATTTTCAAAATAAAGGAAGGTTATATACTGTATCTGCTTCCTTAATCATTGTGATGAGAGTTACTACATCCTATCCTAATTTAATTGTACAGATAACGCACCCAAATTTAGAAATGAAAAATTTATTAATATTAGTAATTACATTGATAGGTTTTATATTAAAACTACTTAGAATACATTACATTATTTATTTATTTATTTATTTTAAGGTATTTAAAAGTACATAAAATTTTTTTGTGGAAGTCCAAAATCTAGTACAAAAAGTAAAATACGAAAACTACTGTAGTTAGCATATTTATTTTATGGTATACTATAAATAAGATGGTTTATTTTAAAATAAAGATGTAAAAATAGCTTTGTATAGATGTAAAATTTTAAATTGGTTGGTAAATTAGTTTTAAAGAGTTGGTAATGACATTCTGCAATGAAATGTAGTCCTGATTTATCTAGCACCACATATTCTCTCACTGTACTTAAACTCAACGTAAAAAGCCACAAATGGATCTTTATTCTGCCCTCTGACACTACGGTTCCCTGAGTGAGGAGCCATATTACCTAATGTTACAAAACCCCTGGGTTGTGCATCATAACAATGCCTTTATTTTGTATTTTAATGTCATTGTGACGCTTCTCGTCAGTCACTGTTGGGCTGCAGCGATAGCTTGCAAGAGAAAGGGATGAAGGGTTTGGAAGCTTCTGTTCTCAGTTTATGTTTTGGCTTCAAAAATAATCCGTGTGCCCCCATGTTTTGACGCTGATTTTGCGAAATCAGTGTTGTCACTGGAAATTATCAATTGAATCTATTCAGTAGAGTTAGAATTACACCTCCTTTTTTGTTGTCTTACTTAATGAAATAGTACACGACTCATGCTCGATTATCATATGTGATTCAGCCACTGCTGAGGTCCCTTAACCGTGTACTCAATTTGCAACGCATGTCTCGGTTCGCACTAATAGATCCTAATAGTGCTTCATTGCTGTGAATGTGACCTGCCTGAATGTTAAGCAGGTTCCTGCAAAGAGGATAATTATTTTACAAACTCACTAATCAGCTACCGAGGCTGATAACAGGTTGCTTTCACAAAAAAATAAAAATAAATTGAAGTTGAACTTGTCTAAATGAGAGAGGCTCAACACCATTCTCTGATTAGACAGCCTGATGACATTCAGATATAAAAGAGAGGGGCAAAAAAGACAACCAAAGTGAAGCAATTGCTTTAAATGTCACCCATGCTCTCACAGGCCCCATATTTTCCGCATACTCTGGCAGTGATGGCGGGTCAATGCAGATTTTGTCAGGCAGAAATTAAAAGCTTCAATTGTTTTGTTTGATTGATGGGAGTTCTCTCTCCGTTGTGGCCTGAAGCTCTTCGCCCAGCAGATGAAGGTGCGAGGAGGCAGGAGTCCTCTTCCTCTCAGCAGCCATCAGAACGAGACGCTTTGATTAGCAGTTGTTCTTGCAGTCCTGCTGATCCTCAAGGAGCAGCTCTGCTGAGGGAGATTGCCCCTTGCAGCTAAAAGCATAAGGAACTCTCTCCCTCCGCATCCCTTTTTTTTTTTTTTTTAAGAGTTCGTGACATTTCTCAGAAAAAAAAAAAACAATTACTCACTTTGGGTCCGTTGGGGCTTTCAACTTCTGTTTTCAGCATTGATCCGTGAGAGACAAACAGAAACGAGAAACATTATGAGGGAATCTTTCAAGGCGACTGCCATTATATTAATGTGCTTCTCGCCGCCTCTGGCTTGATTTTCTTTCTGTAATATTTATTTTTAATGCTTCTAGCACCTCTGAATTGTGTTTCGCATACCTGCAGCCTGTCTATCCAGAGTTCTCAGAGGGATCCGCCGAGGCTTGGTGGACGTTGTGTCAGACACATTTAGATTCCTGCCTTTCATTTTTCCTCCCACACAGTTACCCTGCACAGTTGCTGGTGAATGCTGCTGAAACCTGTTTTTTTTTCTTCTTCTTTTTGTTTTATATTTCTTTCCAAACACACACTGAAACGCAGAGCTCTGAAGACAAATTACTGCGGCACTGTTTTACCACGGATGACAAACATAAAAATAATAGATCATAAATCTCTGTAAATGCCGTTCACTTTATGGCGGCACGTTGACATCTATTTCGACGTACACGTTGTAATCTGCATGTAAAAACAGAGGGAATTCACACGTGTAATGATTTATTGCAGCTTTATTTTGATGGAACAGCAACAAAGCAGAGCCAAATAAGGTATGTCAGAAGAGCTGTTTATAGCTGGATTAGTCATAGAAAACAGCCCACTCCCCCCCCCCTGTGACAAACAGTCTATAAAATAGAGGAACATCTCAGTAGACCAGGAGAAAGCCACTCGCCTGCTTTTCCCTTCATGCAGAGCAGGGAGAGAGCCTTTCGGTTTGAACCGAGTTTGTGCTCATGGACCCAAACAAGATTAGAAACTCGGGGGGATTTAAATCCCCCAGCCCCAACACATCCCTCCACACCCACCCCTGAAATAAGCTTGGGTATTGTTACACTCTTCATTTTCATCTTTTTTTACTTAATCCTCAGTAGAAACTGTACATCATGCGGGCGATGCAAAATTGGATAGCCACTTTTCATAATGTGGAAATAATAATAATAATAAAAAGATATGTTTAAAAAAGATGTCCCTGGCGCAGGGATGCCAAGGTAAAATAGGGCACTTGATTATTAAAATGAAAAAAAAAATGTCACCTACTTTTTTTTTTACTTCTTAATGAGCACAGTATGTATTATGCATCTGTTTTAACATATATAGTGGCAGAGAGTGTGAAAATCACATGAATCTGGCTTTAAACTTTCAGAAAGCTAACTAATTCTTTCTTTAAAAAAAAAAGATCTTTCTCATCTTTCTTTCTGGCTAATTCATAAAGCTTAGTTCAACATTAATGGACCACTTTTATCTTGCAGGGCTTTGTCCATTCCTCATATTCTTCCTGTGCCATTAGTCACTTTTCTTCTCTTCTATTTTGACCACGGCTGTCTCTATTTCAGGACTGTCGGCTGGAGAGTACATTTACACTTCACTTTATTGTGTGTTGCTCAAATGATACCAGACACAACCCAAGGAACATAAAGAGGCAACACTGAGATATTTCTTTATGTTTTAGATGAACAACAAAACAGCCAATATGTA